GCCAGCATGAACTTGGCGTCCTCCACTTTGCCGGTGTCCAGCAGCCGTATGAAGAGGTCTGACGCCGGTCTGTAGCAGGCGAAGTGATTGGCTATCCGCTCTGCCATAGCGCTCACTGCAACACAGCATGCACATTGTGTCAATAATAATGTGGATTGCATCATTCTTACAGTGGTTTTATATTGTATGTATTTTTTCGATATACAAGTATGCATTTTGTGTGTGTTTTCTTACATTTGTCCAACGCTTTCTCATTGTTATCTTCCAGTATCTTTCTGAAGACGTAGGCCATGCTCTGGTTCTGGGTGTCTGGGATTGGTGTAGATGGCCTCCAACACCTCAACTGCACTGTCCACATCACCACTGAGGAGGGGAAAGGGGATAAAAGGGTTAGTTTAGTAAGAATAGTTTAAAACTACACCTAGGAAAATGTCCAAGTTTTAAAGTTCAAAACAGAAATAGGAGAACCAGACAGCGAATGTTCTGCAAAAACGTCAAATGCCGCTGCACTGTAACTATGGTGGGGGTTACGTTTGGATATCATTTAATTCAAACAAGGTGGTGAGAAGGGTCTTTTTTGTGGTTCACATCCTTCTATCAGGCAACCTCTGCATCCTTACTTTTATCCTTGTTACGTAAAGGCATATTCTGGATGCTTCTGTATGGAAATTGTGAGATACAAACATTCCCTATACTGCCTTCCTTACTACAGATACTCTGCTGGGAGAAGAAACAAACACTGATCTGAGAAACTGGCCTGATTAGAGAACAATAAACCCCCCCCATGCTGTTTTTAGACTTAAGAAATTAAATATTAAAATCATATGGGTTTCATTTTTCTCCTACCACCATGTTTTTCTGCTGAGGGTTGCCACAAGCAAACAAAGCCTGCACAGCAAAGCGCTACAAATCTAAAACAACTCGATCTGGCAACCAACACTTTACGCTCCCTCCACCGTCAGCAGTCGTGATGAATATTTAACTCGCAGGGTGTGTGTGCGTCTCCGTGTGTGTATGCAGAGGGGGGGAACATATCTACGCTGATTGTTGCGACTGGGACCGTCTGAATAATTCAGCGGGGGCCCCCCTTAAATGTGGCGCCGCGCTTTCCGGGCCTGCTTTGCTTTTTCCGCCCCGGCTCTTAACCAGTCAGCTCGACTCAGACGCAGCGGGGACGTGTCAGAGCCGCTCAGAGCGCCGCCCGAGAGGTCAGGGTTCAAGCTGACAGGCCCCAATCGGGCGTGAGACTGTCTTGCCGTTCTTCCCTTCCTGCTGTCCCTGCGAGTCGGCACGGCAACGCTGCTGTTCCGGCCGGCCGGGGGACAGCGCTAATGCGAGTAGCGCGATGAAAGTTTGATGCTCCATGCGTTTCATATATTTGTCCTCTGTTGTTTGAGAAGCAGAAGTGGAGGATGGGCGTTTTCATGACATTAAAAGGAACCCATGAATAATCCTATTATGCCGGTGTTTCCTATTTGTACTCGACGCCCCACTCGCCTGTGAGCTTTTACTTTAAGAGTGTGTCAACACGGGTCTTGTCACACTCGGCTCCTGGTTTTGCAAGAAGCTCTTTGTCTTTTGTGTGCTACACATGGAGTTTACAAAGTAGTATAATGGACTTTACAATGGATTGTACATTGAAATTATAATGTTTTATGCAACATTCAGCCCTGCCCATCTATAGTGATTTGTTTTCCGTCTGTTTTCACTTTGTATTACTGCACTTGATTGGTGAGGATTAGAGACACAGCTGATGTAATGACAACTTTTCTGGAAATATAAGATTTGTGGGAAATACCTGAAAAGCTGCATTTGCCTCATACATTACAAAAGTCCTAAATTGCGGCTCCTTTGTGTAGACTTTTAGGGGACTTATAGGATTTTCCAGGCACTTGAATGGTCAAGTTGTTGTACAAAAATGAGGAAATTGGCAGTAGTCAGAATTAAAAACATTCTGCACATTCTGGTACCTTCTTCAGATCAAAATCATGCTCACCTCTTGATGTGTGCCATCACTATGTTGTTGACAAAAATCATGCTGGACAGGTTGACCACCTGGCTCTGGCCGCTTATCAACGCCTGCACTTCCTGGATCCCCGACACGTTGCCCGCTGTTGCCGACGCGCCTGAACCAGCCTGATGATGGCGATGTCTGAGGGCATCTGGTCCGCCTGCAGCAAAGACCTCATTCTCTCCAGAGCATCTGTGGACCAGTGTGAGGTGAGTTTGTGTTTGTACAAGTGTTTTTGTGTGTGTGTGTGTGTGTTGTGTGTGTGTGTGTGTGTGTGTTGTGTGTGTGTGTGTGTGTGTGTGTGTGTGTGTTGTGTGTGTTGTGTGTGTGTGTGTGTGTTCTCACCATTAGCCTGGCCTTTCAAGCTGGATTGATGATGTACAGGTTGTTGGCATTAGGGACTCAACTGGAACGTTGGCAGATGAGATGTAGCACTGAAAAAGAGATGAAAAGGATGTTAATATTCTGGTTGTAGCCTCTTTAACTTTACTTACAGACCTGACAAGTCTGAAAATGTTATTTGATTTAAAATATAATGGAAGATCCCATTGGCTTTTGGTCGAGGGATCCAGGGTGATGATCACTTCTGGGTTAAAACTACGTTATCTGTGAAGTACTGTGTAAAGTGTTTCAATGGAGACACAAAGGTCCTACCTGTGTGGATTGTACAAAGAAAAGTCCATTGTTTTCTTAGAGCTGATAATGTACATTATTATATTAAAAACATCTTCACTATCTGTGATGGTTTGGGTTTAATCTCCGTGGTGTTTTTGTCTTCTTAACTTTGGCTGTTTTAAGGCATCACAAACAGACCCCACAGAGAAAGAGTGGATGAACACAGGAGCTGAAAGCTAGAAGACAATGGGAACAAATATGACTGAAAGCATGTCTGAGCCTCTTGTAAAGCGCCTAACCCCGAAAATAATACAGACATCAAACAGTTGATTACTTCCTCCTGAGCCACTCCACGAATGATGCGTCTTCCCCCTCCATCTACTCGTTATATATGCCGACCTTTGCTACCCTCCTCCCTTTTCATTTCTCCGCCGCTAAAACCTCAATCAAGCTTGCCTCCGGTCCTTTGATTTTATTTCTTATTATATCCCTGCAACTAGATTAATCCGCCCGCTCAATTGAGCATCAGTCGGGCATCCTTATCACCACGGCGACACTGGGCCAAGCAGCATCCGGCAGGGTCAGGGCGGAGATTTGAACGGGAAAGGGGGTCGACGACGGATTGCAGAGGAGACGGAGAAGCGGGGTCAGAAATATCCTTATTGGTAGGGAGGAAATCTCACCTTTTCCTAACACACACTCTCACTCGCCTTCTCTTTCAGGGTCAGAATGTCTTTATTTGTTCCGCTACAGGGACATTTTCCAGTATTATGATATAACAGCAGAAGTGTAGTGCAGATAAAGTAAAAAGAATAGACTTAAATATGAAATAAACAAGTAGGCACACGCTATTAATACTACAAGAACACAATGTCAGAAAAACTAAGTAGCAGTATATTTGAAAGTGACCATAGAAATGAGCAGGTACTGTTTACAGATTGTAATAATGTGTTGGGGGTTTGTGCGGTTAACCAATGAAACATCCACCCCTTCCTCTCATTATCACTCTCGCCCAATCCCTTAATCTCACCATAAGCACCCCGCTGCTCAATTCTGTACAGATTACCCCAAAACACACACACAGAATTAATGCCTATAGCGTCTTCATTAACCTCGGACGTGATTACATCTAGCCCTCCTCTCCTCCTTCACTCCCCCTTCCAGTTGAGCTCTTTTTATCTCCTTCCTTCCCTGCCCACTTCATCCTTCCCGACTCTCCGCTCAGCTCATTTCACTTCTCATTTAGAGTGCAGATAAACGCAGCTTTTATCCAGGCAGGGATGCCATAAACCAAAATCAAAGACTGGAGATGGGTTATCACTTGTATTGCCTCGCTCTTGTTCAAACTGGGGTCTAAATTGATACGATTATTTCTCAACATAAGAGAGTGAATCATGTAGAGCCGAAACAGGGAAGAGACCGATAGTGTAATAGATGTTTTACACACGTTTTTTTTCCTCTTTCCTACAAATGATTAACGGCATCACAGTAGATTAACGTTTTCTTTGTAATGTGAACGTGATATAAAGAAAGGGGACAAAAAGATGACGTAAAGAGACAACGGTAAGATCAGCAGTAAGCACAGATCTCTAATACTCTGTGCGTCCATTTGTCTCCAGGCCCTGATATGGCCCCGCACACACACACGATAACATTACTAATTGGAAGAAGATTGATGTTTGTGCGCAAAGTCACCGGCTTCCCAGAAAAAGCTAAAATTAATCTGTACACCGGAGCCTGTGTGTATTGTGGGGGCTTAGTAAAGAACAACTGTTCATATCCAGCAGGGCTGAGTGTGTCAGCACACAATCACTTTATAATCCTTGTGTCTATTGAGGAGATTTTTAGCACCGAGGTGACCCGGTGCCACAGGCTGAAGAGACGGAGAATGTAGCAGAGCACTAACCGCACTACAGGTTGAATTATTGTGCCTACAGCTAAAATACACCAGTGTACAGTCCGTCTTTTGATTCGTGATGATCTCAACCACAAAGTACACTTACAAATGCATGGGCTCATTCAACTAGATACTAAATACCAGGACAAGAATGCAAAAAAATAACACCGATCGACAAGGAGCTGCAACTATGAACCGGCTAATAGATTAACCAATTGTCAACAAAGATCGAAAGAAAAAAATACACGTCTCGTGCAAAAATGGGTATTCAAACTGGAGTCACAATGTTGGATTATACTAACATATATGCCTGGTATTAAAGAAAACGTTGAAATAAACCTTTTTTTATGGTTTACCAAAATGTGTCGTTGCAGAATGAGATGACACATAGATAGATGATTAAGCACTTACATGTCTTTGACTGCCAGGGCGTCGTTAAAGGACCCCTCGGACAGCAGCGCGCAGATCAGGTAATCGTATCTGATGGAGTCAAATGCCAAACCATTATCACATTGGCTTCCTTACAGATCTTTAAGGCTTCTGTAGAAAGAGACAAGAGGAAAGACAGGAGTCTGCTTTTACAAAGAACATTTCATTTAGTGATTCATTTCTAAATTAAATAATCTAAATGTCATATTGTCCATCATCGATTGATTAATGCAGATCTGAAGCAAAAAAGTAAATCAGGGGCTGTTGCACTTTTAACTATATGCCTCCTAATGCTTTAACGTAGCTTCAAAAGTAACCTTTGCACATCTCCGATGATTCAAGTTTTCCCCCAGTGCATTATACAGTACGTTTGGTTCAGCTCCATATCATGTCTGACAACAACACGGGACCTGCTGCTCACCTTGGGCTTTTTTTATTACAGAGGGCAATTATAGGGCTTTGAAAGCTTGTGTCTTGAGAGCTTGAGCCTGGAGAGCTTGAGTCTTGAGAGCGTGGGCCTTCTTCCACTTTGGGCTTGGGTGCCGCTCTTTTGACCTCGGCTGGGGGGGCTTCTTCTTGGTACCACGTCTGTTAAAAACACACAAATAAAACTCAGTCTGATGCTTCCATAAAATAACATCCAGCATTCGAGCCTGTACACACACACACACACACACACATATTAACCATGTTCAGTGTGTGTATGACAGTGCAATAATGGCGGGGCAGGGCAGGGTCCCCTAATGCTCGTTCACCCGTGAAGCAGCGAGGGGAGGGGGTTAAGCTGTATTGGCTAGGGGCAAATTAGATATGGCACCCCAGGGGCAAAAACTAAAAGTGTGTGTGTGCGTTAGAGTGTGTGTGTTGGAGCGCGGGTGTCAACTCCAGGGCCCCAGGGGTCACTAAGTTCATCGCTCCAGGCAACAGCAATCACTTCCTCTCTCATCACGCTCCGGGCTGTAAGAGCACGCAGACCAACGCTGAGGAAAAACGCAGCAACAGAGCTCACTAGGATTTATTATTTGAGCAGTGGTGTGCGAGTACATTTACTCAAGTACTGCTCTTCATTTTGAGAGACTTGTGCTTCACTTGAGTATTTCAAATTGGTTGCTGCTTTGTACTTCTAACCCCACTACAATTCAGAGGTAAATGGTGTACATTTACTCCATTACATTTATTTAATACCTTTAGTTACTTTACAAATTTGGATTGGTGATGTGAAATATAAAATTCACTTAAATAAGACTTTAGTTACATATTCACAAGCTGCACTTTTACCAGCTTTGATAACACTCTAATACATCAATAATTAAAATCAAAACATATACAATTCTGAAATGGGGCCAATTTAATTATGAGTACTTTTACTTTTGGTACTTTAAGTATATTTTGATGCTAATACTTTTCTACTTTGAATAGGGGTGGTAACGGTTCACATAAGTCCACGGTTCGGTTCGTACCTCGGTTTGGGGGGTCACGGTTCGGTACGGGTTCGGTACAAGAAAAAGCAAAAAAAATTCCAAATGCATAATTCCAGGTTTGTTGTTTTTTATTTTGAACAGTAGTGGCAAGTTTCAGTTTAAAAATCAGGAACTCTGACATTTTGAATAATTAACTGTATTAAACAGTTAAAAACAGACCACAAACAGTACCACACACACACAGATGGCCATATTATCTATAATGGCTGATGTCAAACAAAAAGGTTTCATCAAGCTGTAAAACTAAAAAGAATGTCTTGAAAATATTACATCATAAATAATAAGAAAGTGTTTTCAAGAGCGCAAAGTCGTTGTAAAACATATGCCAAAAGCTTCCGTTATTATTTTTGGTCTCTCGGCTTTCATGTCTATTGGCTTCTTAAAAACAGCGGGGATCAGCTGTTGAAACTGCTGTTGTCTTTTACCGGGCTCCGGTGATTGGCAAATCTGGGTGATGCCTTCTGACATGATTTAGCATGTTTGGCGTGTGTTACCATGAGCATACCGCACCGCTGTAGAACAACGCCGACACACCGTCCTCGTCCGATCCACCACTCGCACACTTCATCGTTATTTAGTCCACAGGGAACCCGAAATGTTCCCACACATCTGATTTAAAAGAAGCAGGTGGGTTCTAGCTCCTGTGTGTTATCTGAAATCGCCACACTAACTTTTCTTCTTCTTGTATTTTGTTCGTTTTGTTGTTGTGTTTCTTCTTGTTCTTCATTTGTTGTTTAAGGGCGGCTGGCAAACAGCTTTTAGGCGCAATACCGCCCCCTGGATTATATATAATGTAGTGGATACTGCCCTGAATGACAGACTTTTTTCCCACTCGTAAAAAAAAAAGGTGTATTCGTCGGGTGACTGCGCGTGCCGAACCGTGACGTACAAACCGTGACGGTACGGGACGAATACGGATACCGTTACACCCCTAACTTTGAACTGAGTAACATTTTGAATGCAGGCGTTTCACTTGTAACAGTATTCCTACACTCTGGTACTTCTACTTCTACATAAGTACAGATCTGAGTACTTCTCCCACCTCTGTATTTGAGGCTAAACTCCCCTCTTTTATTCAAATGCATTAATCCACAGTTTGGTCTTTTAGTCAGAATCCAGGCCGCCTGGATGTAACTAGGATCCAGCGGCCGCCATATGGTGGCATTTAGCTGCTGGCTAAATTAGTCTGGGCATTACAGATTTACAGACAGATCAGGCTGTAATTCCCGTCCGCAGCCAGCCGCTCTGATTGACCACACTTCAGATCAGAGCCTCAATCCTGTTTCCTCTGCATGTAATGAACAGAGGCTTAAAGTGGAAACGGGGTGAGGACGGACGGGGGGGCTGAGTGTGAGGGGGTTTTGGGGTTAGCTCCTATGATCAGAGTTCGCTCTTTGGTTAATCTGAGCAGTATGGATATAATTCAGGGTGGGAACATTGTGTTTTAAATGACACTGAGCAGCTTGAATTTAAATAAATACATTATTCGGCTCGGATGAAGCTCCTCGCTATATCAGTGAAGGACAAAATACAGAATATGCCAGAACTTCATTACACCTGTGAAGAATCATACTAAGCATTTACAGTTAATTTACTGAATATATTTCAGTTATTTATTATTGTAAAACTATTATTGCTTCTCTACAATATTTTATTTAAAATGTTAACAATACTTTTAACCTTTGTATGACATAATACAAGAAAAAACGCTGCATTCATTCAAAACACCGGGAAAAAAAAGCCATTAAAATAAGAAATCTCAGCCTGTTGTAATACATAATAGTATTAGTGTATGAAATGCAATAAATCAGAAATAGAAATTCGACAAGCTCTGAAAATGTATTGCCCACCTAATGATCAAGTGTTTGTCCAAATCCTTTACATACTAACGTTGTCGATTCTAATGTAAGTCTTAGAATCTAATGTAAGTCTTGATAACATCCGTCTCATTGTTTAATTTCCTATTTAAAGTACTTCTTTCTGTGACCTGAGGTGGTTTGTTTGATTGGGAATGACGTGATGTACTTCCTCCAAATGAGCTGTAGTTTACTACTCAAGCACCACAATTCTATTACCAAGGTAATGTTGCACTGTTATCTATTTATAGAATATATAATGTCAGACAAATTGTAAATCACAAGCTTCCAGAGCTTGCAGTGACATCAAGAATATTTACAATAAAAAGCTATAAAAATTCAATTTACAATGGTAAAGAAAACCATAAGTGAACATTCTTCATCTTAAGAAGCTGGAAAGGGAGATTATTCTTTGCCTATTGTTTCTTGATAAACGACCTAAAATATTAATAGAATATTTGAGGACACATAAAATAACAATGGGTACCTCCAACCATCTTTTAATATGTCTGCACCGTTGTGATTTGTGCTCAACCATCACAGCTGCATGCCTGTGTGTTGTGTTTGACCTCGGGCACTTTTGAGAGTCCTCCAGAGCTCTGGGGAATCTCCTGGCCTTTACTTCCAGCTTCATCTCCCCCTCAGGCAACCTCTGGGCAATCTGTCTAATGAGCGAGACTGGGTTGTGCACATTATAGAGCTTAGGGCTGCTCAATTAATCGTATTTTAATCGCGATTTTGGCCTGCACGATTATGAAAAACAACATCACCGAAATAAAACGATTAATTGGTTTTTTAGTTGAATTATACTTAAAGTTCAGGGTAATCAACTGTTCAAAACATATTGTTCAACTTTTTTTTTTCAATAAATGGATGTTTTCAAAGTAAATGGATAATCGTTTTTAATAATCGTGATATCAATTATTGAACCAATAATCGAGATGATGATTTTGCCATAATCGAGCAGCCCCAATAGAGCTTTGGTTTTACCTCGGGCACATCGAAGGGCACCTCCTGGCCGTTATTCTTCAGGATTTTGGCCAGCTTGAGCAGGGTCCTCTCTCTGGGGATGACGTTCTCCTCCTGCATCTTCGTCCAAAGTCCTTCTGCTTTCTTCCACTCGTTTGTTGCCTCTGCAAGAAACAAAGCAGTGAGATTAAGAAAAGGTGTGTTTCTCATGATCGTCCACCTCTCTCCACTTCAACAGTTTCTGCTACTCATCAACAAGGCCTGGGAACCCCACTGACACCGACTCTTACCCTTTTTGAAATGACATATTCTCCTTTCTCCGTCTTTGTATGCATCATTTTACACCAAAGCAAATCATGTGTAAAACTACTTTGTAATAAAACGTTTCTGATTCTGACAGTCGGCCCATACTGCTCATCACTCGGCCTGAGTATTCTCAGACATAGCACTACATGCTGAGAGAGAGCAATCAAAGCACTAATCTGATCAACTGACTGGCCCTCAACTATGCTGTAATTTAGGAAACAAATCAACTAGAAGGTGAAGGTGTGTGTGTGTGTGAGAAAGTGGGGGTAATGGATCGACAATCAGCTTTAACACTCCAATCACAACTGTCATCTGCTCTGCTCTCCACTTCTGACCCCACACACACACACACACACACACACACCACACACACACACACACACACACACACACACACACACACACACCACACACACACACACACACACACACACCCACACACACACACACACACACACACACACACACACAACACACACACACACACACACACACACACACACACACACACACACACACACACACACACACACCACACACACACACACACACACCACACAACACACACACACACACACACAACACCACACACACACACACACACACACACACACACACACACACACACACACACACACACACACACACACAGAAGGTCAAGGCAGCAGAGGATATCAGGGCAGTTTGCAAATTGAACGAAATATAATAGAAACCACTCAGACAAATGGGACTTACCGTATTGTCGGAGGAGGTAAAAGTACATCTCGTCTCTGTCGCACTCGAACAGTTTGTCCGTCATGTCCACCATCTGCTCCAAGGTCTCAATCTATACAACCAAACACAACAACAATATATAATTTACTTTGGAATTTTTCTACCTTCATTTTTCTTTATGGCCTTGAATAGTTCAGTGTGTGTGTGTGTGTGTGTGTGGTTACCTGGTTGGAATTTATACATTTCTCTGCATACCACTGAATGCGCGCAGCCCTTGCCCTCAGCCCAGGGGTCTAGGGGAAAAACAGATGAGAATGTAAGAAAAATAATACATAAAGTAGATAAATATATAGACGGTAGAAGAAGAAACCGTAGCAATGTCGTATTAACATCAGATTGTGGTCACTAGTCACTCACCATATCTTTCATTGATCTTACTTTGATTTAGTTCTAAAGTTATCCTTTGTTGTGATGTCTTTCAATGACTTTTGAAGGCTTATCCATATGGAAAGGCCTTCTTATAATTTCGCCTCTGATTTTGAGGTTTATTTTATCTTTCATTATGGATTAACACTGCTTTGTTCTTGGTTTGGAGAATCAAATAAAGTGTAATCATTCAATGTTTAATGTAGTAGGAAACACAATAGTAGAAAACAGAGACAGCTCAATTCACACAAAGTAACAGGTTAAAAATACATGAGGTTTAAAATATACAGATTATAAAGGGACGTGTAGTACTTTTGTAGTGCTACTAATAATATGCAGATAGACAGTGTATGCGTGTCAAATAGGGGCTGACATAGATTGATATGCAGGCTGGTGTAGCTCAGGTTTAGCCTGATACGTGGACTGACTGGATGATTATTATCATGGAATAACAGTGATCAGGATCTCATCTGTCTCTTGGGGCTTTGATACAATCTGAATAAGACTAGGATTGAGAAATCTCACCCTCCCTCTCTTCCTGGTAATCTGAAAAAGAGAGACAGAGCGATCTGCCAGCACGTTAATCTGAACGGGGATCAGCAGCGCTCAATCCCCGCTGGCCTCTTTGATGGGAGCCCATCATACTGCGAGAGGAAGTGGAGAGTCAAGAAAAGACGTCCATCCCTTCCTCTCCCAATCCCCTCTCCTCTCCTCTCAATCCCTCCCTCCTGCAAATCTCCTCTGCTCCTATTCGCTGCCTCTCTATCCGGCCCAGGCGAAGGCATTATGTTCTTACCCAGCCAGCCAAAGGGACAAATTAAAATGTGTTGCACTCTCTCTCTCAGTCTGTCTAATCTTCTTAGAGACTAAGGCAAGAGCTCCATCTTTTTTCTGCCTCCCATTCCCTTTACTTGGTAAAGTCCTGCGGGCACAAAGCAGCACATCTACTCGAACACACACACACACACACACACACACACACGTTTGGGATTTTGAATCCGTCAGGACAAATCTCCCTAAAAAAAATTTGTGCAGGAAACTAATCCTCAGAAATAAGAAGGCACAACACGCTTGGCTGGATCAAAAGAATGAAAAGTAGAAACAAACAACAGCACGGACACTCTCACTTTCAGGAGGATTTAATGGAAACATGTCATCAGGTCAGAGTATCAATCCTCACACACATCACTCTGCCTCTTTGAGTCGTGCGTGGCCTTTACACGCTTCCTTTCTCATCTTCAAATCCACGTACACAAAAAGAAATGGATAGAGCTGACCTGTTCCCACATCCACTTAACAAACCCTCTCCATCTCAATTCCTAATGTTCTAATTCCACTAATCACCTGTCCACTTAGTCCACACACACACACACACACACACACAAAAACACATAATGGCTCACCACTCTTTAGCAACACTACCTAACCTTGACCATCGCTCACATGCGTGTGCCGCAATAATAGGCCCGGCCACCTGACAATCCTCTACCTAACCATGACCATTTAGCACAAAATTGGCCACCTTTCTCTATCATTACATTTAATTAGCTGTGATTAATCAGCTGCCAATTATACCAAACAGAGCCCAAAGAGACACCGCTCTGGACAGCCACTTGACGCTCTCAGAGGGGGATAAAAGTATTTGTGTGTAGAGTGTGTGCATATTCGAGTTATGGATATGATTCTCTTGTTTTATATATCCTCTTCAAGATATCTGTCGTCATACAAGTTTAAATGACAGTTCAGGGAGGAACTTTCTGTGCACAGACTTTCTTTTCTAAACATCTATGCAGGCACAGTAGTTCACCAACACTCAACTGCTCATGCTATAATGCTGAAATTGTAAATATTAACATACCAACAAAGATGTGTAACATGAAAGATATCGCTCATTGAAAGACGCAATCATCAGACTCTGAACTTTACCTCAGCTCTCCACAAAGAATTTAGCATCTTTCAGGTTCTTTTTGGTTTTCAGCACCACCCACCGACTTTACTGGCTCAGCAGCAAACAGTAAACAGACAAGGCTGGGACTAGCTAGTGAAAACCACAAAAAAGATTAAGAATTACGATCTTCTTTATTCTACTTAGAAAAAAGAACAGTACAAATAGAGATCTGTGGCTCAGTAATCCAGAGAGGATTAACAGCAGCGTTTCCCATACATTGAGTTATTTGTGGCGGGCCGCAACAATTAAATATCGTCCGCCACAAATGGATCTCATAATGGATAGTGAGGTGGGCTGGTGATCGGAAGGTTGCGAGTTCAAATCCCGCCTGGAACACCACTACTAGTGTGCCCTTGAGTAAGGCACTCTACTCCAGGGAGAATGTCCCTGTAATTGGTCATTGTAAGTCGCTTTGGAATAAGGCGTCTGCTAAATGCCTAAATTGTAAATGATATTTGCTATCCTGGCTCCAAAATGGTGGAATGAGCTCCCCATTGACATCAGGACAGCAGAAAGCCTGCACATCTTCCGGCGCAGACTGAAAACTCATCTCTTTCGACTCCACTTCGAGCGATAGAATTACTAACAAAGAACTGCTAACAGAGCACTTATATACTAATAAAGGACTGGCTTACCTAAAGCCAGTTGAGTAGCATTTGAAATGTTTGGCTCTATGAAACCTGATGTACTTATATGATTCTGTTTTCTTCAAGGTTGTATCTTCCTAGTCGAATGTACTTATTGTAAGTCGCTTTGGATAAAAGCGTCAGCTAAATGCAATGTAATGTAATATTTTTGGGATAATAAACCCCACAGATCCTCAATTCCGGTGTGTCTCACTCATTAACAACGCAACACAGAGCAACAAGAACATTGTCTACAGTAGCCATGAACTCGCATGCATTTTCTAATTTGGGGGGGGGGGGGGGGGATGCGTGGGCCACCCGAATAGGTTAAGGGGCTTTGGCTTTTCTTGCCGGGGGGGGGCGGTGCGGTGCGGTGCGGTGCCCCCACAAATAGAATCAAATTCTGTGGGAAACACTGAACAGCATAAACATTTGGATCCAGTTAGTCAATATGTGTACGTCTGCGGGAATCACAGCTAAATGATGATGCTAAAGAGATTAACTTCAATCAGCAAAGAAAACAGTAAAAATTAGGGGTGCACCGAATGGGAAATTCTTGGCCGAAACCGATACCGAAAATTGGAAACAGTTGGCCGAAAACCGAATGCCGAAAGGCCGAAAATGATTAATAGAAATATATATATATAATGTATACATTTTTTACCAATGTTGTTCAGCTACCTGATTATGGAAATAGACATGATTATGGCAAAACTTAACTTAAATAATAATCACTATTATGGGTCCATAAAACATTTATTCAGCACTTTTGAATGCATACAGTACATTTATATATGTCATGTATTATTGCTAAAAAACATTATATCGCAGTCTTAGTGTCGCCAACTCGTTTCTAATATGCAAAGACACAAATGCGTCTATGATGTATTTCGATCAGACGAGATCTCTCTCCCCCGTCTGTGTGCGAGGGGGGCGGGGCAGTTTACACACACGCAGCTGCTACATGCAGCGGAGCACACTGCGGAGATGGCGAGAGAACGCGCTCCGAGGTGTGGTTAAACTTTACCCGTCTCGATGTGGAGAATACTTGTTACCATAAGTGCAATAAGAGTTTAGCATGTAAGCACGAGCAATTTGTCTAAACATTTAGCAAAAGTGCCACCGCATGCAGACGGAGGAATGTACCGGGTTCGACCGTCTTTCTAGCAGCTCTGTAGCCCCATCCACGAGTAACGTTTCCACGTCAGGTGTTATGTATGCTAGCAGCAACACACGGAGTTAACTACATATACAAAACACGGGTTAATGATTAGAGGAAACTGAGGTATTTAGTTTGTTAAAATTTCAGCTATTCTGTTTTACAGTCTGTCATCAGATTATTTAATACGATTTGTTAAAGGCTCAGGGCAATCTCGATGACAAAGGTCAATGTTCCCCCCCCCTGTGAGCCAGCCGCGAGCATGGTCGCCGCGTCTTTATTACGTCATCACAACAACACGTTAGGTTACCAACGTAAGCCTGTTCTGACATTCGGTGATATTTTTCGGTGCTAAAAACCCTTCGGCCGAAAGCCGAAAGGGCCTTTTTAACCATTTTCGGCCGATAATTTTCGGTGGCCGAATATTCGGTGCATCCCTAGTAAAAATCAAGGTAATGAATTGAGATGCTTCATTAAAATATAAAACACGAACAAGCCAAGGAAACCCCAGTTGTGGTGTTAGCCACTCGTCCACCGACTAAAAGAACATCAATCCCATATTGCTTTTAATTTCAACATATATCTACGCGATCATTGATCTTCAATGAGATTGTTTGCCTGACTGACCATCATGTTTGGGCCCATGCATATTTATAAAGCAGTTTTCTTACATTTTGATCGGATTGGGGAATACTTCATCATTTGTATTTACCATTAGGTAAATGGCAGATATTTTCACCCATAAAGGGGAGAGGCCATGATGTAGAGGGAAAATACCTGGAAGGGTTGCTCTCATAATTTGGGAAATGTGAATGTTTTAGTTTATTAAGGGTAAAATAAAAATTAGTCGCTGCAGTATACTGTATTCTTGGATATGTTTTAATGTACATTCTAAAGCCTTGTCTGTTGACGTCTGAACATGCCCCGTCCATGTTGTATCAAAAGAGTTCTCATTCATAACACTCCGTTCGATGTCTCACTATGGGATGCGCCTCATCGCGGAGCAAACAGAAGCATCAATCTCATTACGCCAATCCTGATTGGCTGGAGATCTTGACGTCAGCGTCAGGGAAATCACCCCCTATAAGTAGCTTGCGCCACAACGCATGCGCCATTCAAACACCTCTTCTCGCT